CCCCCCTCCTTCAGCCCCCCCCGCCCCTACTTACCAGCATGGAGTCCATTTCCCTGCAGCAGCAAGCAGGGACTGCCCAAATTGTCAAAGCTCTCCAAATCTTTTCCAAATTGATTTGGAGAACTTTGAATTGATTCAGATCTTTTAATTCATCCCCTGATTTGATTTGGATTTGGAGATCCAGGCACCGAATCGGGCCAAATCTCCTCCGAATCAAATCAGCACCTGAAGCGTTGCACAGCCCTAATACACACACACACACACACACAGAGTTGTCATATAAGGTAGTCAAAAGTGAATATTTCCATTTAGTAGCATGTTCATATGTGTGTATGTGGAGAGGCCTAATCATGCGTTCTATGAAAAGCTGTCAGTCTGCTCTCTCCTGAAGTATAGAATTCTTCTCTCTCCTAAAGTACAAAAATATATATGGATCCAAATTTATATAATATGCACACACAGTATAATATTATACCAATATAATTTTGGAGTGAATACATTAAAAGAAAAAAGTGATTTTTTTTATGAAGGTTCTTGTTTTTAAATGACAGCTTTTTTGAAGCTCAGAAGTTCAGAGCATCTGCAGTAGTTCTAGTGGAAAAGGATTAGTGAGCAGAGTTGAGGAGGAGGAGTCAAAGGTGAACCCTAAAGAGAAAGCCTAAAACAGAATCTGGATAACTTCCCTCCTGTTTATTTCATCGAGATTCAGAAGGCAAGATTATCAGTGGATATGAACTGCTGTGGCCCCCCTGAAATCAAGAGAATTCAGTTCACTTCTAGCAGTTGAAACCTAATCCATAATACATAAAAAAGTTCTTCATCCTTAGCTCTTGGTGTCTTTAACACAGTTAAAATTACAATCACATAGACAATGATACCAGCAACTACCCTGAGCCTTCCTACAGCCAGCAACAAATACAGTAAAACTCAAGGCCAGCAATCTTCTTCTGACACAGAGAGCAGACCCTCCCCATTCCTTAGCCCCCACAAAACTGGTGTAAGATGTCAAATCACAGTCAGATTCCCTTCTTTTCAGTTGCACGGAAGAAATCACAGAAGGCATTTCGAATGTCGTACCTGAACAGAGAAGTTTGGGGTCCTGGATTTCAAGCAGCACACTAGATTTAGAGGACACAGTAACAGGCTTCTCTGTTGAGTGCTGCGCGAACAATTCTGTTGGCTCCTCCTGTGAGAAGGTTTTTGTTAACCGGCAAGGTACTCTACAGCTATTGCAGACAATCTCAAGCTAATTAGTTAAAGACTGGGGTGGTGGTGACGGAAGACTCTTCTATACCATTTATCTGGACAGCTGGTTCACAGTACAGTATTCCTAACAGATAGAATTGAGGGTTACACGTTACTGTGTGGAATTGTGGGTAAAACATGTATCTCTTCTGGCAAAATCTTTTCCTTAATTAGTGATTGGGTGTTAGGGACCAAATCCAAAGTGGACTCCTCTGTCATGAAAATCAGTGGGAGCGCTGCTGGATAGGGTCCTGCTGAATCAAGGCCCAAGGTGCTATAGGTCTTCTCTTTATTCTTGTCAGTAATCTCCACCTGAAAACTTTCCCTTTGTATAAAGCAACATGCAAGACCTTCTATGTATGATTGCATAGAAGAAGACAACATGTCTGTGAGGTCTTTCTCTGTTCTGTTATTTTTTCTGAGACATAAGATTCATAGCCCATATCTTTTCCAGATGGAAAAATACGTAAGCAACAGAAAACTTAGAAGATTATTTAGGAAGTGTTACGAAGTACACAATATTTGGATTATTCAGTCTGAGCATAAGGATTTCCCTTGTCTTGCAGAGACAAGATGATGTCTTCATAAGAGTGGGTTATAATTGATGGATGTTACTCATGCCTCAGGTTATAAAATCTTGAATAGGGTATGGAAGTTGTTGATTCCTGACCTTCAGAGACATGTAACAGTTATTGAGAAAAGAACAGAAGCTGAGAAGAAAGAGATCATAGCAAAATCAGTCTATTTGTTAGAAAGGTTTTGCATAAGTTGAGCATTTCTAGAATCATAAAAGTATAGCAAGGAAGAGGCAGGGATTTCAGATTTTAATACTATTTCTCAATATGGTGTTGTTTTCTCTTTTTATGACACCCAGCCTGATTGGCTGATTATAACATACTCATAGGTTAGTTGACATTTTATACTGGAGTACACTGTTCTATAAGAGGCTAGAACCCAGTGATATGCACTAAATGCCGCTGTTACACTTCTGAATGTGTAACCTATAGGGGTGTGCAAAGCAGGCCCTATTTGATTTGGATTCAGATTTGGCCCAAATCAGGGACAGTGATTTGATTCGTTGATTAGGATCACTGTCCCTGATTAGATTCAGCTGAATCCGAATCTGAAGATTAGATACTGATTCAGAGAATCAGTGATTCGGACACAGACACAGCTTTAAATGTTTTTACTACATACCTCGAGGTACCAGGTGCAGCTCATGGAGTGTCCCACAGGAGTGTGGGAGGGGCCCTCCACGTGCTCAGCAGCAAACCTGGAAGTGAACCAGAAGTACTTCTGGTCCACTTCTGGGTCCATTGGGGAGCGCGCTGGGGGTCCTCCTGCATCCCCTCTGGCTCAGCAATTGACTGCAGGGGGATCCCAGGTGCCCCCAGACCAAGGAGGCACCAGTCACTGAGCCGGGCGAGCATGGGACAGGACCCCAGCATGCTCCCCTGCGGACCCAGAAGTGGACTGGAAGTGCTTCTGGTCCACTTCCGGGTCTGCTGCCAAGTGTGCTGGGGAGCCCCCGTACTTCTGTGGGACGCTTCATGTACAATCCCCCAGCATTGCAGCATTCACGAGCTGCCTGCTACCTAGAGGTATGTAGAAAAAACATTTAAAGCTGTGTTTATGTCTGAATCACCGAATCTTTCCAAATCTCTCCAAATTGATTTGGAGAGCTCCAATTTGATTTGGAGAGATTAAAGAGTCCTCTGATTCAATTCAGATTTGGAGATTCGGCCACTGAATCGGGCCAAAACTCTGCCAAATTGAATCAGAGACCAAAGCTTCACACAGCCCTAGCAATCGGGTATTCATCTATATGATGCGAGAGGTAGCTCTAATTGTTTTGGAATTTATGGTCTTGATCAGCAATAACCATTAGTGTCAATTAGCAGAGCAGTACTCTGGCCAGGTTTTATACAATGGATCCTAAGTTAACAAGTGCCTTTTTAATATTGGGTGTTTGAGTGGGTTATACAGTTAAGTTAGAAATGTCTAATAATTGCTTGACTTCTTGTCCTTAGCCTTTCATAGATCAGATCCCCATAACATAATTAGATCTACCTGAACAATGATCTAAATAGATTTAATGGTTCATGTGATGTTTACTTTTTGAATAGAAAGAGGCTGTCCAACAGAGGTGGGGGGACCAGTAAGGAAGAGAAATATCAATGAAGGTCCTTGTAAGCAGGTTGATGTGCCTGTTATCCTGCAGGCTGGCTTTGCTACATTGGAAGCCCCTCAACCAGTTCTCCTAACATGAGAAATAGTCTTCACACCAAACAAACAAATAAATGAGCAAAAAACAACATTTAGATTTTCTTCAGACCATAAGAGAAACCCTTTAGATCTGGCCTCTTCCTTATAGCAAGCTTATGTGATTTCCAGTCTGCCTCCTCACTCTCTGCTTTCCTCTCTGGGTTCTTAGCTGCTGGAGGGTACTCCCTGATTAGGTAACTACCTGCAGCTGGGCTTCTACAACAGGGCCATCCATCCCCTCTTAAAGGGCCAGAGTGCTCTGTTACAGTCCCTTCCTGGAATTCCTACTCAGAGGGCACATCTACGTGAGACACTTGGCAGAAAATTAGCATAGTTTACTGTGAAGTAAGCACATGGGTTGATACATGAACATGCTTACTTCAAAGTATATCTCCCTAATCCAAAGTAAATTTGCTACTTGCAAATGGAAGCAGCATATTTACTTGGTATTAGTATGCTCATGTAGATGGTTGGATGTGAGCCAAATCTGCTCTCAGTCAGCCATCCACGTGGGGCAGGAGATAGCTCCCTGCCCCCAGGAGCTGCCTGCTGCTGGGGTGGGCTCAGTCACAAGAGGTCGGGCAAGGACTATGTCCCCCTGCCCTTGGAGCAGTTTGCTCCAAGCCCCCTGCTCCCAGATCATGATGCCAGAGTAGAGGCTGGGAGATAAGGATCTCCCAGCTCCTGCTCCACCATCATGATCAGGGGGGCGGGGAGACCCTTATCTCACAGCAGTGGCTTCATGACCACAGGGCCCCATGGTCTTGAGGCTCAGGCTGGGAGACCCTTCCCTCCCAGCCTGAGCCCCACAACTGCGGGATTCAGGCTGGGAGATAAGGGTCTTCCAAGCCCAAGCCCCAAGACTGTGGGGCTCAGGCTGGGAGATATGTATTTCCCAGCAGCAGCTCTGTGGTCATGGAGCTGGCACTGGGAGCTCCCTGAAGCAGGGGATGGGGAGCTTGTTTCCTGTCCAGCTCTATGAGTACAGAACTGGGGGGTGGAACAGGCTGGAGAGTTTGTTCCCCCCCAGCTCAGCTAGCAGGGAGCTGGAGGGGCAGCAAGCTCCCCAGCTTGTTCCCCCCACAGCTGCACACTTGCAGAGCTGGGCAGGGAACAAGCTCCCTAGCCCCCACTCTGTGATTGCAATTGCGATTGTGGAGCAGGGGCTGGGAGCTCCCTGCATGGGGAAGTTCCCCACCCAGCCGGGAGCTGGCTGGGACCTGCCCCTGAGTAGGACAGTTCTCAGCCAGCCCCAGGCTACACAGGGAAGCACATGTAGCCTGGAGGTAGCTGGGGACTGTCCTGTTTTGGGCACATCTACATGTTTTGATTTAAAGTGCATTAGTCATTTTTAAAGCATGCTAAGGGCACAGGTCTACACATGTGCACCATTAATGTGCCTTAAAAATGGCAAGTTTAGGTTAATCACTCCTAAATTCAATACCTGCATAAAGCAAGTATCAAATTTAGGCATGATTAGTTAAGGCACCATAACCCACATATAGACATTGTAAGGCACCTTAACGCTATATGACTGAGTGGGCTGGAACTGAGCCCATGGGGTCCTGCACTGCTGCCAGGCACCACCAAGAAGAAGATGCAGCAGGTTCTGTTCTGCAAGGTGCAGCCACTCAAGCTGGAACGGCATTTCTGGCAGCAGCAGTCTCTGTCAGTGTGTGGTAAGTTGGCGGAGGGGGCAGTAGGTACGAGGGCTCCTTTCAAAGCACAAGAGACAGGCCTCCCTATGACTACCTGCAGGGGAAGGGGTCGGTGCAGTGTGGGCAGGGCCTTTGATAGTGGCTCCCCCCTCCCTGGCCTCTCCATTGGGGTGGGTTTGCTGGCCAGGCAGTGCATCCCTGAAGAGGTGGAATGCCTTGCTGCCTGCCTGGAATTCAGGAGCCCTTAGAAGTCTGAACTGGGGCTCCCGCCTGGGACAGCAGGTGGGCTGAGACTGTGTCTGCCCCCAGCACTCAGCATGGCTTTCTCTGCTCCACCTACCTCCATCCCAGGCAAGCGCCTGTCTTGTGTGCCAGACACTGCAGGTGGGAGATGTGTCATCAGCTCCTGGGGGACTCTGCACAGCTTATCCCAGGCAGGAGGCCAGCCAGCTAATCCACCCTAGGTGCAGGGGACCCACTAGCAAAGGCCCTGCCTATGCTGCAATGCGCGGAACAGCACCTGCCGTGTCTTCTTGGTGGTACCCAGTGGCTGTGTGAGGTCCCACAGGCTTGGTTTCAGCCTGCTGTTGTCTGATGCTGGGGAGATAGGAACACGGGGAGGGGGTTAGAGCTGGGGCCAAGACTGAGGTCAGGCTGACCGAATGCAGGGCCACTGGAGGCAGCCCCCCCCCCCCCCCCCCCTTGGCCAGAGCTGGGCTGCACTGCCCAGCTATGCTGCCCTGAGCTTCCAGGGGCTGTCCAGTTTGCTGACCAGGGCAGCCTGCCCAGCAAGCTGTGTTAAGGCACCTTAAAGCATCCACGTGGAGATGTGTGCCTAAATCACCTTAATGCACCTTAGGCTAATGCGCATTAAATTTAGATGCATGTAAATTCACATGTAGACATGCCTACTGTGCAGTAGCTTACTGCACAGTAAATCTAAGATGGAGTAAATGCATGTGTAGATGTGCCCAGAGTCTACTGACATCAGTCCCACATGGAAGACGTCAGAGTACCTACTGCAAAACCTGAGGGAGTCTTCATTGGGAGAACTTTGACTGCTGGCTCTCAGCTTTCCATATGTACCTTGGCAGACTAGTTTCATTGCCAAGGACTCTCTCTGGCTGTGGCTGCTTAAAGAGACTTCCCCAAAACCGAAAGGCTGCAGAAGAGGGAGAAATAGGTATTCCTGCAGCTTCACCTCCACAAAATTTGTGCCACCTAAACTCTCCTTCACCCCTCAGCGCTCTGCTTCACTTGGTAGTGATTCATTCCACATGCAAGAAGTCATATATACATGCTGTGATGTAGGAACATGAGAGCTGCTGACCACTTGCAATTCCCCCTACCAAATCTCAGGCCAAAAAGGAATGGAAGTAGTTGAGATAATAAAACTGTGGCAGATTTACACACAATTCAAACTCATTGCGTAATAACATATATCTTCAAATTGCAGGAGCTGTCTTTGCTCTCCAAGATAATGTTCCATTCTATGCAGCGTTTGGATTCTGCCTTCCATTTATATTTGCCTCCATTGTTATTTTTCATAAATACAAAAAGGTAAAATCTAAACTTAAATGTTTTCCCTCTACCCACCCTCTCTGTATAACCATGTTTTCTGTTGGACTAATGCCATGTATTTTTCATCTCCAAAGCAATTGAAATATGAAAGCCAACTACAGATGATACAGATGGTTGGCCCCTCTGATAATGAGTACATCTACATAGATTTCAGTACATTTGAGTATGATCCCAAATGGGAGTTTCCAAGAGAAAATCTGGAATTTGGTGAGCAATCTGTTATGAAGACATAGTTTCAATTTTCATTGCACCCAACTGGAAATCATATTAGCTAAATTTGTCTTGTAGGGCAAGTACTCGGATCTGGTGCCTTTGGAAAAGTGATGAACGCTACAGCTTACGGAATAAGAAAAACAGGAGATTCAGTCCAGGTTGCAGTTAAAATGCTTAAAGGTACAGTAAATGCCAGATACTTCTCCCAAGCAGCAGTTTAGTGTTTGTGTTTCAAGGCAAAAACAGATCTGCTGCCTCAACTTCTGACCTTGCAGTCAGGTCACTCTTCTCAGTGACCTCCATTGACCTTCTTGCACATTGAGGGAGATTTGATCTCTCTTCCATAAGGTAATTCAATGAATATGTTGTATTAAATATGTGGGGTTAGGCTAGGAAAACTTGTAATATAATAGAAATCATAGCAATCTAAGCTGAAAGGGACCTCCTGAGGTCACCTAGTCCATTCTGTTCCTTTAAGGTAAGATCAAGTATACTGAAGGTAGGACCAGCTGTAACATTTGAAGTGCAGCTTCCATTAAAAAATAGAACATTTTCAGCCTCAGGCAGATGTACAGCCCTCTGCCATGCCCCCTGGCTGGAGCACTTTGGAATCTCCCTGGCTGCATTCAGTGGCATGCTCTCCATCCATGCACATGACGGGGGAGTGGAGCCAATGTCAGCAAGTGTTCTGGTGTCTGCTCCACGTCCCTTCTCCCAGAGCATCCCTTGCTGAAACTGGGAGACCAGGTGTGAAGAGATATGTGGGATTTAAGAGCTGGACACCAGGAATCTGGCTTCCAGTCTCCTAGTTCTGATGAGGGGAGCACTCGGAGAAAGCAGAAGCAGAGCAAACAGAAGGGTGGTTTAGAGATAGGTAGAGCGCTATGTGATACTGGAGAATTTTGAAGCACTTGCAAATAGTACTTATTTCCTTTGGGTTACTTTTGGAACACTTCCACCATTTTTGGAGCACTTCAAAGGGCAAATACACCTGACTGGCTCACCCTTGGAAGCACTTCAGATGTTATATCTATTCACAGTTTTAGAAGCTTGAGACTTCCCACCCGTACCCCCACTATCTCCAAAGCATTTCAACACTAGTGAACTGGGAGTTTTAACTGAAGTGGTGCTACTGATTCTTAGAAACCTCACAGGTACCTAATTGGAAGCCTTCTGGTCAAGGCCACCAGATGTGGAGCTAAGAAGTAACTTATCTCCAGATCCGACCAGTGAGGACTGTGGGGTGTTTTTTGCCTCCCTCTTTAGTGTGGAGCATGGGCCTCTTCCTAGGATCATATATTAATTTATCACTCCTCTGCCATTGTGGTGAGACAGCACTGGCATTGCCCTTGTTTCTCCTGCTCTTTTTACATCTTACTGGTGTTTCCAGTTCTATGCCTGGCAGGTGTAGTGCGTACGGGTTTGGAAGGATGATTTTTAGGAACCTTTGGGTAAATAGTTGTCTGCAAACACAGGGGACTAGACTTGATGACTCACAAGCCCCTTACATCCCCCTCCTCCCCCCCATCAGTCCTATGTCCCTGTAACTAGACCATCCTTAATGGAAGTTTAGTTGTCCTTAAAAAAACCCACAGGCTCCCTAAGCAGCGTGTTCCAGTGCTTCAATACCCTTGTAGTTAAAAAGATTTTTCCAATCATCTAAATAAACCTTTTTTTGCAAACTAAGCTGAGCACTTCTTTTCTATAGCCATGGAAAAAAAATGATATAACCATGTGCTTTATAACAGCCTTTTGTTTATTGGAAGACTGTTACACTGCCCCCCGCAATCTGTGCTGTTCTGGCTAAACCAAATATAGCTCTTCCAGCTCTTCCTCCCAGGTATTATTTTTTATGTTTCTTGTCATTCTTGTTACTCCCCTCTGGACTGTTTCCAATTGGCTGAAGTCTGCTTTTTTTTTTAAGTATTTGTCCTTATTTTGCCACTCCCATGTGTTTCTTGCTTGAGAATGATGAACTCTATTAATAATCTCCTGATCACGTTCACCTAAATTCCAACCCCTTGAACTTTTTATAAGTAATATTCATTAGGCCAGTTCTCCATAAGTTTTTAGTTTTATGTCTATTAAGTCATATTAAGTTAAAGTAAATTAATGCTGCAAAGAAGAAATTAATTAGGATTCAAATTCTAGGCTGTATGTATTCCTAAATTTATGATGCTGTTTTTGCAGAAAAACCTGATGTTTCTGAAAAAGATGCTCTAATGTCCGAGCTCAAAATGATGACTCATATTGGAAACCATGAAAATATTGTGAATCTCCTAGGAGCTTGCACTATGTCAGGTAATAAACACTTAGTTGAAACATACCTACATCTTTTCAAATTGCAGGAGCAGTCTTTATTCTCCAAGATAATGTTACATTCTGTGCAATGATTGGTTTCTACCTTCAATTTATAGTTGTGTATTTGTGCTTATATTTCATAAATAAAAAGGTAAAAACTAAACTTAAACCTAAATCATCAGACTGCTGAAGGCATCTGAGTAGGTTAGACAAACACTTCAAAAATTGGCTATTGGCAGCTAACTCCATAATTTTTGAACGCTGTTAAATCTCACAAATTTCTCTCTTTTGCCCTAATTTTCTGCTAAGCAGTAGTCAAGAAACAGAAAATGATTTAGGGATAAAATGAAAGAAAAGTTAAGCATTTGTCTACACACAAAAATGATACTACTGTAATGATACTGCGATGGTTAAAGTGATAGAATACCACTATTATGGATGCTATTGTCCTGGTATAACATTGCTTAAACTGAGGCTGCAAACAGAGATCAGCTTTGTTCCACCTGAAAAATGTTTGTGTTCACACAAGCAAACAGATATTTTAACCCTTGTCATGCCTTAAGTGCCCAAAAATGTGAGCACAACAATTTCTGTTAATAGTTTGTGGTACTCTATAGTAGTGGAGGTCTTTTCAATTATGGTGTAATCACAGCAGCCCTAGACTGCCTGGGCTCTTCAGCCACCCCAAGCAGGGGATTCTGGGGCACGCATTTCATACTGCAGAGTAAGGGAACCCCATGGGGTTCCCTAATCCACACTTGCAGATGCACACCCTTGGTTGGAGCCAGACATCTGGGGCTGTTGTCTCACAGGATTGGTCTCCTAAAGCTGCGGGAGCAGCAGGGACCTGATTCCATGGACAACAGCCCCAGGCAGTGCCTATACCAGTCAATTAATCTGCACAGCTGATCTCATAATAAAAACAACATCTGTTTGTAGCCTGAAAGTGCTTTGTCTTTTAAGGGAAATAGATTAAACTCTCCTGATGTAAGTAAGGTTCCTCTATATTACTAAAACTGTGTCGACACTAGGGGTTGTAACAATTTAACAATATAGATAAATATAACATCTTTAACCAAAATGTGAAATTGGTACAAAAGCTGTATGAAGGCCATAACCAAGAGGTTAAGAAGATTGACAGATTAGCCTGAATGTCTGAATGAAAAGGAAAGGAAGGGAAAAAGAACTGAAGAAAAAAGAGTGGAGTGAAGAAAAGAGGAGACAATGAAGCAGAGAGGGGAGGAAAAAGTAAAATGGAAAAATGGTACACATAAGATTACATCAGTGATGCTCAACCAGGGTGTTGTGGCACCCTGGAGGACCTTGAGATCCTTTTGAGGATGCCACAGGGTGCCACACAATGTTAGCACTGTTAGGTGTGCAAATATGATTCACAAGATAAACCCAAGGATTTCAAACAGGAATCCATAGTATTAACAACATTCTGACCTTTTGTGGCCGTTCTGAGTTCTTTACAACAGAAGAACAGCTCAATTATTTTTCTGTAGTAAAAAAAATGAATGAAAGTGAAGAGCTGGCATTTTCTAGGGGGTGCCTTGAGTCTAAAAAGGTTGAGAACCATTGGAACAGATTAAAAGTAAGTTCAAAGGAATAAAGATGAAGATAACAAATTCTCTTCTTTGGTTGTTATTCGTATTGTCATGGCAGCTACATGAGCCAGTAGTAAGCAGGACTCTACTGTGTTTCTAATGATTTTATAGAATTAAGTTCTTTAATTTCTACCTGTGACTAGGAGAGAATGCGGGCTTATGGGACCTTCAGCAGGGCCTATTTAAATACGTCCATTTCCCAAACAGTAGTAGAAATTCATGTTAGAAATTCTTTCAGGACCAGTTTACTTGATTTTTGAATATTGTTGCTATGGGGACCTTCTGAACTACTTAAGGAGCAAAAGAGAGAAATTTCACAGAACATGGACAGATATCTTCAAACAGCACAATTTCAGCTTCTACCACAATTTCCACACGGATCAAAACTCCAGGTAAAACATTCAGCAGCAGTTATAGTTTAAAAATATATTCTTAGTCATATGCTTGCATGGATCCAGCACACTTCAAGTATGCATCCTATGGGACTTTGCAAAGAAAAACTTTGGGCAGGATTCTCAGCTGTTTTAAACCAGTGCAGCACTAGTGAATGTGAGGATCCAGGTGATTTAAATGAATTAATTTTAGGTTAAGGAGAGAAATGATATCTAACAAAGGAAGCCTGATCTGCAGACTCCAGATTTGCCATAATTCAACCTTTGGGTCTCTGCAGGAATTCCACAGGGAACTAGCTGAAAGTTGGTTCCATATTTGGGGGCAGTTCTGAAAGTGTCATAAATCCAAACCAAATGTCATGTTTTTTATTTATGACATGTCGAAGTGTCATGCTAGATAGAATTCTGTTCCAAAGGTTTTAACTGGAAGTAATTTAAGTATTTTTCACTGTAAAGTTATTTGCATTCTAGATTATTACTTGATCTGTCCTATGCCACTTTTTAAAAATATGTCATCTACTGCAGAAGGGGAACTATATTAAAAAATGGATCATATATTACATCAGTTAAAATGGATAGCCTTGGAGATATGCAATCAAGCCAAGACTTAGATTTGATCTCTGAATCAAATGGGATGATGATGTTTTCTGAGGAAGGTAAGAAATTATGCATTTATTTTGAACGAATAGCAATGCAGGCTTTTTAGCATTGATTTGATTGTTTACAGTTTTGACAACAGCCTTGGGTCCTGATAACTTTAGCGACTGCATTTGATAACCATGAGATGCCATCCAGTCCTACATTCTGTTCCTCACCAATTGCAATTTTGATAGTCACCTCAGTAAAGCTTATTAAGGACCTCAGGATTTTTCTTATAATAACTTTATGCATTTATTTACTAGAATAGAAATAATAGTAAGGGTGATGCTAGACTCTGAAGACATCTTCTCCTGTCTCTTTTCCTTTATTGTGTGTTTAGATGGGAAGAAAGAATGCATAAGGCAGTAATTGCAATTCTTGACAGTGCAATGTGAAAACACCTGTGATCTATGGAGATAATTTAAAACTGGTTAAAAGACATGAAACAAAGGTTAAATTGTAATTTTTTTGGATGGAGGAATTTCAATAGTAGGGTCTGCCAAGGACCTAGGTTGGGGCTGGTTTTGTTCAACATTTTGATAAAAGACCTGAAGAAAGGAGTGCATGGTAAAATCTCAAAGTTGGTAGAAAATACTAAATTATTCCAGGAAGGTAAATCCCAAGATGATGGTGAGGAATTTCAGAAAGTTCTCACAAAACTGAGTGAGTGGGCAAAGAAGCAGCAAATGAGTTTCAATATTAACAAGTGCAAAATACTTCACATGGGGAAAAATAACCTCAACTATATTTACACAATGCTGATCTCTGAACTAACTGCTTTGACTCAGGGAAGTGACCTTGGAGACCCTTTAGACCTTTCACTAATCATATCATCTTAAGGTGCTGTGGTGACCAAAAAACCTAGTAAAATATTGGCATCTTTAAGGGAATTGAAAACAAAACGAAAAACATAATTATGCTACTGTATAAATCCATGGAGCAGCCACATCTTGAATCCCATATGCAGTTCCAGTCTTTGCATCTCAAAAAGGATGTAGTAGAAATAGAAATTTTACAGAGAAGGGCGGTAAGGAGAATCAGGGGTATAGGGTAGGTGCCTTACCAAAAGTGATTGAAAAGGCTAGGGCTCTTCTGTTTGGAAAGGAGAAGGATGAGGGGGAAACAATATAGGTCTGTAATGGGTTAGCTTGTGGGACTCATTGGCACAGAAAGTTGTAGAGGCAGATCGTATAGCCAATTTCAAAAGAGGGTTAGGTAAATCAATAGAGGACAGGTCCACTGGGACCTATTAAGAAGAACAGTCAGGGATGTATCCTCTAATATCCCTAAACCAATGATAGCTGATGCCAGGGAGGGTATCGCAGGGAATGGATTACTCTGATCCTGCCTTGTCCTTATACTCTCCCTCTAAATCATTTACTACTTGCTCCTTTTGAAGATTGGTTATGTGGCTACATGGACCATTGGTCTGACCAAGCTTGGCAATGTTGTTGTGTTCTTAAACAGAGGCCAAAGAGACAAAGAGAAATAGTAAGTCTGGTTATTTTTTGCAGATGAAATTAAATACATCAATGGAAGACTGTATGAAGAAGAGGACTTCAATGTGCTCACTTTTGAAGATCTCCTTTGCTTCTCATATCAGGTTGCCAAAGGGATGGAGTTCCTTGAGTCAAAATCGGTATGTTTAATCTGTGAAAAAGTTTAGGTAGTAAAGAATGCAACTATAAAGCAGATTAACAAAAGGCTGCCAGAGGAATATAGCTGTATGGTGACAAGCTTAATCTGTGTCTTCCTTAATAGTTTTAAAACAGAGCTGTCCAACTGGTGGCCCATGGGCTGTGTTAATTTGCAGCCCCAGGGATCCCACCAGGCTTCTGCTCCCCACATTGCTCCAGCTGCAGCTGGGCTCCCTCTCTCTCCTCTGGCTTCCCCTTTCTGCCTCCACCCCATGGGGCAGGACAGCATGGTGCAGCACATTCTGTAGTGCCAGGGGAGCCTGAGGGCTGGGGTACTTGCATGATGCAGTGGGAGAGCTGAGGGTGCGGCCAGGGTGCCCACACACAGTGAAGTGGGGAGGTGCCTGCATGGCCAGCTGTCCAGAGAGCCAGTGGTTCATCCTGGTACATTGGTGAGGCCTTTGTCTGTTTAGAAGTTGGATAGTCCTGGTTTTAAAATAATGAAGCTAGAATGTTATGGGTTAGATTTTGCCATAAGATATCATCCTGTGCAAGAGATGGTCCCCTGAGGCATCAGGACTGAAACATCCTTCTGGGGTGTGATTCCCTCCCCACTTCCCCTCACTCTGAAGGCATATCGGTTTGTTTTTGGTTTACACCAGCAGCAGATTACAATCTCCTCCACAGCTCAGCTGCACGCGGACTTCAGCTGCATGGCCAGCATGATGGGGAGAAGGAAAGCCAGCATCCCATTAGCTCTCCACTCACTGCCTGCTTTGTGAGGGGAATAGCAGGCACATAGCCCCTGTGTCTGGGTCCAAGGACTGAACAGCCCAGGAATAAGAGTCCTTATTCCCCTGCAATGCATCATCCAGGCATGCATTCCCCTGCAACGCATCATCCAGGTCACAATCTAGTCCTAATAAAAAGGGCAAATGACAAGTCCAGCACTATAATACTGACCCTGGGCATTTTTATATGTGCTCGAGGAGGGCGCTTTAATTAGAGCAGCTCAGAGAGCCAAAATAATTGAAACTCCTGGACCATCATGTGTATCAGTGTCCCCATGCTGAAGTATGGTAACGGGGGTGCTTTAACTAAAGCTTGTTGAACATGCTTTAGTTAAAGCACCCCCACTGCCATTTTTCAGCATAGGGATGCTGTGCATGTGGCAGTGGAATCTGCTGGAGCACGGTAATTACCATGCTCCAATAGACGCAATTTAATCTGCTCTGACTCTGTAACAGCACATCAGAGCAGCCTCAATGCATGTGTATAGGCACCCAACTTAGCCTGTGCCATTTCAACTGGGGCAAAACCAGGTGCCTAGGTAGTAGAAACTGCAAGGAGCCAGATTTTGCACCAGACCATCTTTGTGGGAGAGAGAAGAGGGGATGCATACCAGTGGAAAGAAGAAACGTATCCCTCAACAAGCGCTGAGCCTATTCTCTCTCCATTTTGTCAATAGCACTTCCTATCTTCTTTTCCCCTCCCGGGGTCCAGAAAGCTCATTTTGTAACCTGTGTGTGCTAATGCAAAGCATGTACATGCTTAAACCATTTTTTGTCATCTCTGGGGGTATCTACCGCCTCTCCATCTATTGCATTTCCTTTTCTCTTCCCTGTTTGAGAAGCTAGAAACTAAATTCTAGGCCTGATAGATTTCCAGTAACAGATCTGTTCCCAGTTAAAGTGGAATCTAAAGGGTCATGGCTGTCCAAATGGACATGGACTACATTAATCTGTGGCTCCAGCCATGAGGCAAAACTTGCCCCAATAAGAGATGCTGGTATTTCAACTTCATGGATCCTCTGCAGTCCTGATATCTTGTGGGATTTGTTGGAGTAGATACCTTCTGCCCAGAGACCCTGAGCCTGCTCATGGTTTCACAGCTGCCAAGCACCCTGCAAACCTTTGATTGCATAGCTGCTGGAGAAGGCCTGTTACGAGGGACTCCCTGGTTACTTTGGACCATGAAATCAGGTTGCATATGTTTAATTTAACAGCACAGAGAATGAACCTACATGAGTTGCTGCAGGTCACATGTATGGGGAGCAGGGGTCATGCCAGGAGGAACAGTCATCCTCCAACCAGCTCCCTGTCCCTCCCTAACTAAAGAGCCCTTTCTGGGCCTCCTGGTACCCAGGCTCCAGCTCCTTCTGCTGGCAGGAGAGTGGAGCAGGAAGGCTATGGTTATTGCAGAGAAAGCAGGTGTGAACCTGGGTGTGTGTATCAATGTCCTGATGTTCTGTAAAGTTTTAAATTAATCCATGTATGGTCAAACTGTATTTCTGCTGGGATTTTTTTCCTCTGAAATTATATGTTAGGTCATAAAAGCCACTCAGAACTCTTATCACAGCTGTCTTCTATTCCTCATAATACACAGATGTTACCATTCCATAAAATGTGTGAGACAATAGCTCAGACATTGTATTTGCTATTAGCTCTGCAAAATTGGTTATGTCACTTTTTCATGAGCATGGAATAGTTTGAGCAGGGATGGGTGTCCATCCTTATATTTTTGAATGAATTTACAAACAGTGGGGAATTACTTCTATCTGTTGAGAATCACTGTGTGAAAATAACCATCTCTTTCTTTACAGTGCATCCATAGAGACCTTGCTGCCAGGAATGTATTAGTGACCCATGGAAAAGTGGTGAAAATATGTGACTTTGGCCTTGCCAGAGATATAGAGAATGATTCTAACTACATCATCAAAGGCAATGTAAGCCCATGCCTGCCTTAGCTTTTTCTCATTGCTGTAACAACCAAAAAGAAGGAATAGCTAGCTGATGAATACATACACAGTTGTTCTATCTAGCTGGTAATTATACATATAGCTGAACATATTCTCCAGAAACCTCATTTATTCCTTGAAAAATTTTCCAGTCCTTGGCAAATGAAATTTATAGTTTTGGTGTTAGCCAAATCAGATTTTGAATGGCCAATGCAATTATTACTTACTTCTTACTTTGGCAATCCTTCACAACTGAGAATGATTGTCTTCCATGATTTTCTTATCTGTGCATCTAAAGATGGTCAATGAGGCCTATCCAGGACCAGCAGACTCTACTGCAGCTTGGACATGTGTTTCCATGTGGGGTGGATGGCACTTGATGTTTTTACTTGGTTCACAACACACTGTTTCTGCAACTCCTGCTTTTCCATCTCTTGTTATTATCATGAAGTTTCATAGTACTGAAATCCCTTCAGCAGACTCTTCCTCTATTTGGAGCAGTCCTGGGCAATAGTCTCCCATGGGTTGACATTGATGTTGCATTTTTTTAAGTTGCCCTTGAGGATGTCCCTGAAGCACTTTCTCTGTCCTCCTCTTGAACATGCACCTTGGCTGAGCTGGGAAAATAAAACTTGCTTAGGGAGTCTGGAGTCAGACACCCTGATGACATGGCTGGCTGAACAAATGATCATGGATAATGCTGGATGATTGTTGCCTCAATACTCATAGTATTTGCTTGCAGGAGGACACTAATGTTGATGAATCTCTCTTCCCACTGGATTTGGAGGATCTTCTGCAGGCAATGTTGGTATTTCTCCAGCAACTTTAGATGTCTCCTGTACCTTGTCCATGACAGCTCTGCACAGCAAGGCGGGGATCATGACTGCTTGATAAACCAATGAGCTTGGTTTTGGATCTAATGTCATAATCTTTGAGCATACATTTCTTCAGATGTCCAAAGGCTGCACTTGCACATTTGAGGCAATGTTGGATTTTGTCATTGATGTCAGCCTTCTGTGAGAGATGGCTTTTGAGGTACAGGAAATACTCAACATTCTCCAGAGTCTCACCATGGATCTAGATAACTAGAGCTGGTGACTGTTCACTAAGAGCCTGTTGGTGGAGGACCTTAGTCTTCTGAATGTTAAGTGTCAATGCCATTTTCTTGTATGACTCAGTAAAGACGTTGATGATTGCCTGAAGGTCTGATTCTGAGTGAGCACACACTACAGCATCATAAGCATACTAGAGCTCAATGATTGTAGTCAGGGTGGTCTTGGCTTTTGCTTGGAGTTGACCGGGGTTAAACAACTTACCATCCATTTAGTAGTTTAGCTCCACTGTGGCTGGGAGCTTGCTAGTGATCAGATGTAACATTGTGGTAAGAATATTGAGAAGAGTGTTGGAGCGATAATGCAGCCTTGCTTAACTCACATATTAACCTCAAAGGAATCTGTGATAGATTACTGAAAACCACTGCTCACCTACCATCATAGAGCAGGCAGAGAATGATGACAAATTTCAGTGGGCATCCATAATTCAGAAGGATCTTTCACATCACTTCTCGGCTGACAGAATCAAAAGCTTTTGTAAGGTCAAAGAAGGCCACATAGAGAAGATTATGTTGTTCCCAGCATTTCTTCTGCAGCTGGCAATCTGTGAAGATCATGTCAGTTGTGCCTCTTGATACCCTAAACCCACTGAGACGTGATGCCCTAAACGGAGATTCCAGGAGGAGCTCTTCAGCAAATGGAAGGAGATGGTTCAGGAGGGTTCTCACCATGATCTTTCCTGTGGTGGACAGCTAGCTGATCCCTCTGTAGTTTCCACAGTTGGACTTGTCTCCCTTATTGAAGATTGTCACAATCATGACATCCCTGAGGTCATCTGGGATTTCCTCATCATTCCAGATCCTTAAAATGAAGGCATAAGCCTGTGATGTGAGCTCCTCTCCTTCCTGTTTTAAAATTTCAGTGGGAATTCCATCTGTGCCAGATGTCTTTCTGTTCCTCATCTGTTTGATGGCTTTCCTCACCTCATCAAAGCTTGGAGGGCTTCCAAGATCATCTCCAACTGGGTGCTGTGGGATGGAGTTAAGAGCACTCTCATCAACAGCAGAGTCTTGACTGAGAAGGTCTTCAAAATGTTCCTTCCAAAGGGCATTGATGGCTCCCCTTTCCTTGATCAGGTCTCCTCCTTGAGTCTCAAGGGAGTTGGTCCCCGAGCGCTCAGGCTATAGGTGGCTTTGGTGGAACTGAAGAAGCCATGCATATTTTGGATGCCAGCCACATGTAAAAGCTCCTTAGCCTTGTCTTCCCACCATTTGTAATTTGTGTATTAATATAGTAATCTATATTATCACCTTTGCAAAGCACTTTAAGATTGGGTTGATGAAAAACGGTGTAAAATATCTAAGTATTATCAGCAGCATCATTAAAATAGGCAGGCTGTCAGACAGGTGCTCACATGGTGTAAAGCAGTATAGCTCTGTTGTAGTCACTGCATATGTTAATATGGTCATATTCAGTACTTTACACAATCCACCTGTTTCACATGTTACAGGAGAAGGGAGAAAAGCCAAGTTCTATCAAAGATTTTTTTAAAAGATAGGAAACCAAATCAACAGTGACCTGAAGTCAGTCCTAAAAACAGAAAATTAAAAAGCCCGGTGCTTACTCTGATAACTGTATTATTTTAGACTAACAGCCTGAACACACAATACATTGCACCAGTATAATCACTTTTCACTGGTGTAAGCAAGGAGCAGACATTCAGCCCTATGTCATATGACTTCCTTGAATGCACTGTAGAACTAGGCCTCCGGAGAAATCAAGGACAAGATTCTACCCATGTAAGTTATAGGGTATAGGTGCTGTCTGTCTGCAGCTTATCCCAGCGTAACTATTTGATCAAGGCAAACAGGCTATTTCCTGCTTCTCCTGATCTAGTAGTAAAACTGTATTGCATGTAGCTATCCTGGGATTGCTGCACATCTGTCCACTCTTGATCCCAGTGTAATTTACATTTGTGTATAAAACTAATCTAATGTATACCATTGTAAAAATGTTATCTGTCAAGGCCCTGAATTGGTGAGGCTTTCAATGACAGCAGTGTGTAAAGACAGAAAATAAAGGTTCAGTAGCTACACTTCAGCATGTTTAGAAATGCCCAGCATGGTTCTTCTGATCAATCTGAGAATGAAGGTTTGAATGAAGCTTCCCAGGTGTGGAGAGTCCCAAGTACACCATTCAGAAAACATAGTGGAAAAGGAGGGAGGGTTCTCTCTCATATCAGCAAGTAAGGTCTGTAAAAATATACCTCCCAGGGAGCAAAAAGTGCTCCAGTATGTCACCCCTAGTTTTACCTACTTACTTAACCTAGTCCTAGAAGCTACTTAAAATGAACCCGTATTCTTCCTTGTGTGCATGCAGGTAGTGAGAACTATGAGTAGGATACACTGTTCGTAGGAAACACTAACCTTTTCCTTTTTCTCTTGTTGTGCAGACCCGTTTACCAGTGAAATGGATGGCTCCCGAAAGCTTATTTGAAAGGATATACACAATTAAGAGTGATGTCTGGTCTTATGGAATATTACTCTGGGAAATATTCTCTCTTGGTATGTCCTGAGGGGCAGTGGAAGAGCACTACTTTTCACTGGCCTCTTTTATGTTAATATTTTCCCCACAATATTTTTCACAGGTGTGAACCCCTATCCTGGTATTCAGGTTGATGCAAACTTCTACAAACTCATTCAAAGTGGATTTAAAATGGACCAGCCTTATTATGCTACAGAAGAAATGTAAGTGCATGCTTTGTATACTGCATAGGATGGAAGGCTATTATTAATTATTTTCCAAATACTATAGTTGTATGTATTTTGTTCTGTTGCCCTCCATCATATTTGAAAGAGAGATTTAAGGCAAGATTGTCTCTTTATCTACCTTTGATCATGTAGCAATAAAGGACATGTGGTTAAAAAAGGCCAATCTATTGCACACTTTTGGTTCCTCTTCCCAGAGATCCCTTGGCCCATAGCTCTAGCATCTTGATGCTAATTCTTTTATTTTTTTAAACTAGATGTTACAGTAAATCCATTTGAAATATTAAATAAAGCTTTCATTAATTTCCTCTCCATTGTTCTTCTTGAACCCCATTGCATGTAGGTCAGTTGCAGCAAGCCTTTAGTACTAAAAGAAAATGGTAACCCAGAAGGACTTGGGTGCGGGCAATGGGGAAGAGGCAAGGCACACAATAACTACTCTGCTTTTTAGATGTTTACTGTGGAGCTGACTAATTAGTTCCACAATAAATGTCTTGCTGTCTAGCTATGCACACGTATTAGGGTGCAGGAAACTAATACACTCTGCAGCGGGGTGGTACTTGTAAATACACGTTCTACCTTGCTGTGGAGTTTTTTATGGGCAGCAAAGCACTGAACGGAGTTGGCTGGCTAGGGCACGAGGGTGCTTCAGTACAGGGGCTGTCTGCCAGCTAGCCCTGCAATGAAACACCCTCGTGTCCCAACCAGTCCCTCCACGGCACATTGAGACCAGTCAGAGCAGCCTCAGGCTGGCAGGCTGACTCCTGGGGCTCCCTGCCAGCCAGGACTGCTCTGAATGGGCTCCACATGCTGTGAATAAATAAACTCCAGTGTGGATTGCTCTGCAGTTATTTGCTCCCAGGTGCACATTCAAATGGCATGCCTAGGAGCAAAAAACTCAGGAGCAATACATTCCAGAGTTTCTTTACGTGCACTAATTGCATGTGTAGATGTGCCCACTGAGTTGTCATGGAGATTGCACCCTGCAGACATCTGTCATGCCTGTGAACTCTGCCAAGGGGGAAAGGACTCCCAGACAGTGGCAATGCGTACGGAGTTTATGGGGGTGCATGTGCACCCCCTAAGAGAGCTGGTGCACTCCCTGTCAGCCAGCGTTCCCAGGTAGGGGGGCAGGCAAGAGTGCTGGTGCTCCCCCAGAGAGCACCGGCTGGGGAGTGGGCGTGCCCAGAAGTGCCAGCAGCATGCCGCTGCCACTTGTAGGTCGGCGGGATTGGCTGTGGGGCGAACCCCTCCCCAGCTGATGACTGGCGACTGGGGGGGGCAGTTGCCCCCCCGCCCCAAGTCAGGAGGCACCAGTCACCCATGCTCCCAGGTGACAAAATGCAGGAAAAAAGGAAACAAGACAGAAAGATTTGAGACTCAGAGTATGCATGAAAGGGCAGAATACTCTGGGCTGCCCATTGCAAACTTTGTGATGTTTTCTGGGCTAGTCAATGGACATTTTAATATCTGTGAGGTCAGGTACACGTAACACTGCAATATCTTCAGCCTGTGGAAATGATAATGTCCATGAAATTACATGTATATACTGCAGTTTTTATGAGCCTGGCAGAGACTTCTGTGGAACTTATAAACTCCTACAAGAACTTGTTCTTGACACTGTAAATCATTGAAGGACTTATGCAGAGATTATAAACCTTTTATGGATTTCTGGGAAGATTGTACACTCTGCATGACCCTTATTTTAACCACAGAAAGACTTTTGCAAGGTCTTACTCCAGAATGATCCTGAAGAGACTGGCCATGATATTTTATTTCAGTGGAGGCAGAAGCAGCTAGTAGATAGTATCTGTCTGTGGAGACATTTTCTGTGGGAATTGCTCCATATTTCATCTCTTTTGCTCCTGCAGATACTTTGTAATGCAGTCCTGCTGGGCTCTTGACTCCAGAAAAAGGCCTTCCTTTTCCTGGTTGGTTTCCCTGCTGGACTCTCAGCTGGTGGATGCAGAAGGAGAGGTATGTAATCATGCAAACAAGACAAATGCTCTTACTTGCAGATCTGTACTTTAAATGCAATGTTAGTGTCCGCAAACAATGCTCAACCTCCAGCCCACAGGCCAGATGGAGTTATGCCATCCAGCCCATAGTGCCTCTTTTGAGTCTGGAAATAAGGGGGGAGGGGTGGGGGTAGCAGTGGCAGTGTTAATTTCCTCACCTCTGCTGCCAAATTTCCAGACCCATGGGCTCCACAGGATACATGACATGGCCCTATGCACTAGGGGTGCACTATTCGATTCGGATTTGGATTCGGCCCAAATCAGGGACAGTGATTCGATTTGTTGATTCAGATTACTGTCCCTGATTCGATTCGGCTGAATCCGAATCTGAAGATTCAATGCTGATTCAAAGAATCAGCGATTCAGACATAGGCACAGCTTTATATGTTTTTTCTACATACCTCTAGGTAGCAGGCGGCCCGTGAACACTGTGATGCTGGGGCACATGGAGTGTCCCACAGAAGCACAGGGGGCTCTCCAGTGTGCTCAGCAGCAGACCTGGAAGTGAACCAGAAGCACTTCTGGTCCACTTCCAGGTCTGACGGGGAGCATGGGGTGGGGCGTCCCCGCACCCCCCTGGCTCAGGGACTGGTGCCTTCTGGGTCTGGGTGGGGGCACCCGGGGTCCCCCTGCAGCCAATTGCTGTTCCGGGGGGCACCGGCGGGCCCCAGCACACTCCCTGGCAGACCCGTAGGTGGACTGGAAGTACTTCTGGTCCACTTCCAGGTTCACCGCCAAGCACATGGGGGGGGGCCCTGCGCTCCTGTGGGATGCTCCATGCACCCCAGCATTGCAGTGATCATGAGCTGTGCTGGTACCTCGAGGTATATAGAAAAAACTTTTAAAGCTGTGTCTGTCTGAATCTCCGAATCTTTCCGAATCTCTCCGAATTGATTCAGAGAGCTCCGATTTGATTTGGAGAGATTAAAGGGTCCTCTGATTCTATTCAGATTTGGAGATTCGGCCACTGATTTGGGCTGAATCTCCACCTAATCAAATCAGGGACCGAAGCTTCCCACAGCCCTACTATGCACTGCATCATCAGTCTGCAGCCAGATCCAGCATATGGGACTGGCCCATGCACAGGGTCAGGCTGTCATGGGGTTGGGCCAGTGAGTGGCTGGATCCAGCACATGGATTTGAGCTGATATGCAAGACTGCACCCCCACACTGACTCCATGTGTGGGATCTGGCCTGTGGAGTGGCCCTCATCCAGCCTGTGGGGCTGGAAGGTTGAGCATCATTGATGTACATGATAAGGTGCGTGTGAAGGAAAGCCCATACTGTTGACTCACTTCATTAAAAAGACTCCAGAATGTTCTGGACCTGGATTCCTCACTGAGCTGAGCTGTTCACTGTGGGACTACCTGGGATTTAGGAGAAGTCAGTTTTGCAAAGATTTCTGTGCATAACTGTAATATAGCCACTGGGGATACAGGGACCTCTCCCTTTCTTTTGTTACCTTCTGATTCAGAAGGATCCACAAACAATCTTCCTATGCCCACAGGAACTTGTTCTCCTTCTCTAAACTCCTAGTGCAGCTGGCTGTGGTCTGCAGAAAAGGACCTGGGGGCTACAATGGACAATAAGCTGAATATGAGCCAGCAGTGTGCCCTTGTTGCCAAGGAGGCTAAAGCCATACTGAGCTGGATTGGTAGGTGTGTTGCCAGTAGGTCAAGGGAAGTGATTATTTCCCTCTATTCAGCACTGGTGAGGCCACATCTGGAGTACTGTGTTCAGTTTTGGTCCCCCCACTACAGAAAGGATGTGGACAAATAGAAGACAGTCCAGAAGAGGGTGACAAAAATGGTGAGGGGATTGAAGGACATGACTTATGAGGAAAGACTGAGGGATCTGGGCTTATTTAGTCTAGAGAAGAGGAGACCAAACAGGGGCTTAATAGGAACCTCCAACTACCTGACAGGGGGGTTCAAAAGAGGATGGAGCTAGTCTGTTTTCAGTGGTGGCAGATGAAAGAACAAGGAGCAACAGTCCCAAGTTGCAGCAAGGGAAGTTTAGGTTAAATGTTAGGAAGATTTTTCTCATTAGGAGGGTAGTAAAACACTGGAGCAGGTTACCCAGAGTGGTGGTGGCCCCCCCATCCTTGGGGGTTTTCAAAGCCCGGCTAGACAAAGCTTTGGCTGGGATGATCTAGTTGGGGATGGTCCTGCTTTGAGCAGGGGTTGGACTAGATGACCTCCTGAAGTCCCTTCCAACCCAAACTTTCTATGATTCTACTGGGGAAAAGCTGATTGCAGGCAGTGTGGAGATCAGTCTGGGAAGGGTTTCAGGGTCTGTCAGGGGCTAGGAGTTCTGTGAATGCAACATGCTCAGGTCCTTGGGGAAACAGGGCTTTCTGGTGTTCTCAGATAACATCCCCTACGAGATTTATCAAGGGAAGTAATATTAACAGGCTCTGAAGGGAGTTGTATTCAATCTTCCTGCATTGGATACACATCATACTGAGGCAGACAGAGATATGGAAGATTCTATAGGAAACCACTTTCCCTCCCAGAAAAGATATCCCAAAAAAACAGAATAGCAGCTCCAGTCAAAGATAGACATTTCTAGCCAGGTATCTGTACCTGGCTGGCCAACCAACTGTCTAGTAGGCAGTGTTCTTGTTAACCTTTTAAATGATTATGGATGGATCTTGTCGGTACTGGCTCAAACCTCTCTGCAGCACTTCAGGCTGACCATAGCTGTTCATAAAGCACAGTCTCTCTCTTGTTGCTCTTAGTAAAGTCCTTGAACACTTTCAGCAGTGTGCCTGGGCTGTCATCACACACGACCATTTTGCAAATGTGGATGAACTACACAGCTTGGCTTCCCATGTTTGCAGGCAAGCAGCTGAAAGAGGCTGTACCAAAGTCTAGACACAATATTCTATTGCTGAAATAGACAAACTCTTTTATCTACAGAGATGGCTTTTTCCTCTGGGAAAGAATACTGCACAGGTACTAAAGGACAAATCCTATTTCACCTTCAGGTGCCAATCAACTCTGCTGAGTAACTGAAAAAACATTAACACAAAGGGCAAATGGATCCTCCTCACTGCTTTTTGTTATTTACAGAAGTAGACTCATTAGTGGTTTTTCAGGGGCTAGAGTAGGCTGGAATAGGATTTAGACATATAAATCCACTTATGCATTTCATAAGCAGACTAGGATCTGGCCACAAGTGGTTGTTGAGTCTATTCCACATTTTTGCTGGAAAAAAATATACTAAATACACTAAAATGGCAGTAACTTGCATACACTGCAACATATTGTCTGTTTGTTAGTAGCAAACACTCCGTGTTGCGTTGCTCTTTGGACATTTTCTTATTTTTTTCATCTCATACATATGAAAAATGATTGTCATGCTATTAAATACACTTCTGGAAGCTGCTTAAATACTACAGTGATGAGGACAACATAACAACTTGAGCAGAATTATTGATCTCTGTGCTACTGGTTGCTAGGAAGCTGTGTGCAATAAGTAATCATTACTAGAGTTTAAAAGAGAAATTCCTTATTATCACTAAGATTAATCTCACAAATTCATATCATGTGACACTCCAGTGTTCTCATCCCATGGGCACGTCTACACAAGATGCTAAAAGCATAGTAGACTAATTCTATTGCACATTAGCACAGCAGGCAAAAAGAATTAATCTACTGTGCATTAGTATCACAAAAAAAGCATGCCCTGGTGCTACTGTGAGTAGTGCCAGTTACGGTGCATTAAATTAGTACCTGTAATTACATAGGGTTCCTATACATGTGCGGGGAGCCTGCTCTGATAAATTGGAAATCCAGCACTTAATCCAGTGATTAATCAAGTCTGCTGGAACATGGAAATTGATGTGTTCTGGCAGCCTTCTGTATCACATATATGATCATCTCCGTGCATCCTCATGCTGAAAAAATGGCGGCAGTGTACCTTAAAATAAAGCACGTTCAATGAGCTTTAGTTCAAAGCACTTGCCACCATTTTTTCAGTATGGGGATGCACGGGGACACATGGGTGCTTTTAATTAGTGCAACTCTCTAATTAAAGCGCCCAGTGCCATGTCCCACAGTATGTGTAAAAATGCCCACATGTACTAAATTTAGTGTGTCATAATTACTGTGCATTAATGAACATGTAGACATGCCCAGTGTATTGCTAGAGTTGTGGACACAGGACAGGTTCATTTTGGAGTAATTTGACTTTACTCTGGGATAAAAGTGCAGTGGACCTACAATATACAGCTTTACACCAGGATAAGTGTCTCTACTCTGGGGTGAATTATTCCCTGGAAAATGAGGTATCATTTCATATCTCTGTAAGCTGTATCAGCACATGGGTTGTGTGTCTGCTCCTCTAGTTAGTTACCTTCTGGGGTAGCCCTTTGCTAAATACAAACTCACTGTTCTATTGCCTAGTGGGCAGGGTGATGCATCCATCTAGTTTGGGATAGCTGGCCATGTGTCTGCTCCTTTCTAAGGAGTTAATATACTATGGTTATCAACTGTCTGTAAATTTATGGGCAACCCATAAAAAATAGGGCAAAAAATGCTTGTCCATAAAGTCCATAAAAAACTGGTGCCATCCATAAAAAACAAGTTTGATGGCCTGATGAGCACAGCAGTGCCACCTGGTATCTGAATGGGAGCACAGCACCCTGCCAGGAGCTCGTCAGGGCTTTATGGATTATAGAAGCCCACATAGCCCCCATCCCCCTGCCTAGCCGTGTGCTGCTGCTACCATGTGCTGCTATTGCATCCCTTTCATTGTCTCTTGTGTCTTACAGCTGCTAGAGGGAGGGGGCAGGATGCAACTGTGGGCTTTAAGGGAGAGATAGGGGCCTATGCCAGGATGGGGTGAGCTGGGCTAGCAAGATTAAAACTAAGGGGTGGGCTGGGATGGGGGCAGCACTACATGGGGAGCAGCCAGGGGTGTTGGGATTTGGGGCTGAATAGGGGAATCCTGGGGTGGGGGAAGCTTGATGTAAAATCATTACTGCAGTCAAGCAGGGTTGCCAACCCATTCAAATATTTCTTACTTACAATCTGCAAACTTTTTACTGACAACCAACCTTTTTTACTATGGTTGGTATTAAGCCCCTAAATTTGAACCCCCACCCTTGTCACTGCCATCCAGGGCCTGGCAGAAGAGTTAAATTAACATTACGTAAAACATATGTCAGTAAAAACATTTGATTGTTAGTAAAAAGTTTTCAGATTGTCAGTAAAATAATATCTTGGCTTCACAACCCTGCTATAGGGTAAAATCTAGGTAAATTATATTAATCATGTTGTGGGCCCACAGACAGCTGCAGTAGAGATCATTTCCTGTCCATGCATAGCGTTATGTTTATATTCAAAATGCCTCCTACCTTCTCCTAACCTTGTACTTACGTGTTGAGCTAAATTATGCTATAAGTGGACCCATTTATGAAGTAGAAATTACATCACTTAACAGGAGCCAGAATTTGAACTCATGGACTGGGAAAAATGGAAAAAATGTGTTGCATGTGATTTCATATAATTTAGAGCAAAGTGTTCAGTATGCTGGCAACTAAGACACATCTGCTAAAACAGGGGTTTTCAACCTTTTTTAATAAGTGTACACCTGGGGGTCCCTTTTTTAATAAGTGTACCAGGAGGGGGGGTGGCAAGTAGCTGGGGATGGGTGGCAAGCGGCCAGTTGCAGAGCAGGGGCATGGCAAGTGGTGGTAGTGCAGCGTCTGTACAACCCTGCTCTCACCCTGCTCCTGTGAGGCAGCAGCACAGGGTGGTGGTGCTCCATCCCCACCCACCCCCACACTGTGGCAAGTACATGTACCCCTGGGTGACAAACCCTGTGCTAAAACATAAGGCTGCACCCATTTCTGTTTACACAGCTGGCATTGTGGGCTTGCATACCTACCTGTTTGCATGTAGTTATCCATCTGCACGTGCAAACATTGGAGCTGTACATGTAAACATGGTGCAGGCACAAATCAGTTTAATAAATGGGTTTCAGATGCTTTTTAACTTTACAGGAGAGTGTGTAACACAGTCTTACACTTCAGGCCTGTTAATGGCATAGGTGCCGACTTTTATTTTTGCCAGGGGGTGGAGCGGAGAGTAGAGCCCTAAGATGGTAGCCTCCCCCAAGGCACTGCCAGAGCAGAGCTTAGCGGAGTCTGTGAGTGGGATGGGGGTGGATGCAGGCTGCCCGCTGTGGGCTTAGGGTTCCCTGCCCTGCTGCTCTGCCCCTGGGAGCCCCATGTCACCTTGGCGAGGCACCCCCTGCCTGCCCAGCAGCAGTGTGGGGCAGGGGGCACCTTACTATGGCAGTGTAGTCAGGGTGGGGCTCCTGTGGGGAGGGCACCAGGGCAGGGAGGTCCAAGACTACAGCTGGCAGCCCGCATCCACCCCCGCCCCGCAGTCAAATCTGGGGAGCACATGCTCCTCTTATCCCCCCTCAACAGGAGTGTGCACAGGAACAGGGAGCCTGGATCCCTACCCGATACTGGGA